TGTGAATCTGAATCTGGTAAATATCCTGGATGATATTTTGGTATTTGTGTTTGTATTGTAATGTCTGTTTCCTGAAAGTATTTTGTGCAAGGTGACTGAAGCCCAATAGATAGATAGCATAGATAGCCTGTAAAATATGTATTGTGTTAAACTCAAGTGACACCTATGAATGCCTGGTTCTCATATCAAATGTATCATTAATTTTGCAACTGAAATGAATATGGGGATATTCAGCATGACCAGGCTGATGATATAATAAAGATTCAGGACACAAACAGACCCCTAGAAGAACTTGAACAAAATTGAAAACTGTGAAGGAATGATTGATTTTGTAATAATAACAAATCTTGTTGACAGAGTGGTGTGAGTTTACCCCCTATGAGGTAGGCATCCAGAAGTATGGGGCATTTGTCAAAACTGAGGACTTCGGGAGTCACTTCTTTCTCGGCCATTTGGTCAAGAAACTCCCAGAAGTCCGCATCCCTTATCTGATCGGTAAGACCACTGCTTCTGTTGCAATGTCAATGCATGGTAATACAATACTAATTTAAGGTAATTCCAATACATTTTTGTCAACATCAGGAATATGGAGCAGTGCTGTTTCTGTCAGCATGACCGAGATATTGTCGAATGCGGGGTTCAAGCCTACTTGGAGCTCCTGGCTCAGCCCAGAAGCCGACATAGGTACAACTACTTTATTTTATAGTGCAGAAAAACATAAATAGACAACAGAATAAGGCTGGCGTTTCCACAATTCTCTTGTAAACAAATCCTATTAAAAGCCAAACCAAACAAATTAAAACCAACAAATTGTTTCATCTTTCAATACTGTTCCACCCTGCGTTTGGAACTGTGTGCCGAGCCCATTGTTTGACAAATATCTTTAAAAACTGTTCACAAATATATACTTTTTTACAGTTCAGCAATTTCCTAAATAAGCTCCCTGTACAGGAAACATTACTCAAACGTATTGTCGGGTGAATAGTACATTTTGTGTGAACTTTTTCAAAACTAATGCTGGTTCGAACATTTACTGCCACAAATTACCTTGTTCTTTTTCCTCTCATTAAAAAAAACACAATGCATACTACCCTTTTAATCTTAAATCTTAAATAAAAGACTATGCTAATTTATTTGGCGATTCTAAGAAAATCTCCTGCGACCCGCCCTGTGGGTCTCGACCCTGTCTTTAGGAATGACTGCGTTAGTAAGTGCTTACAATACAACATCATGACCCACTGTATGCGGGATAGATTAAAAATAAATTACAGTGCCCGCATTCCTCATATTGACATATCAAGACATATGAATTTTTTTCTTTTCTTGATCATTTCATGGGATTGATGACAATAGGACAAAATATAGAATATTCCCAGCTTGATCATTTAAACTTTAAAGCATTATCTTAGATCATTGAAGAGATTCAATGTTTACACAACAAACCATAAAACAGAATTTTAAAACCTTTTTAGTGTATTTATTACTATCATGGTACAACAAAGACACTTCCATGTAAGAGCATAATAATGTATGTATTATTGAGATGTTGTGTTCTTTTGACAGACGATGACACTGAATCATCAAATCAGGACACATACGTCATAAATCCAACCACAGATATCGCCAGCGATGTGACTGATTTCTTCAGAACACGTCCAGTCATTGCTGAAATGTACAATTTCATCCGCGGACTCTTCATGCACGAGGACTACAATCAACAGAGCAACTTTGTTGCCTGGAAAAGTATGCACTCACAGCACAGTACACTTTCGCCCACAATTCAAAAAATTCGGAACAATGCTGAGCCTCTAGCTCTCTAGCTTCTAGCATGTACATTTCAGGAGTGATCACAACTGATCCCTCCTGACTGTTTATTGCACCTAAATGCGGTCAGGAGTGATCACCATGGATCCCTCCTGACTGATACATAAGCATGAGTCATTCCACTGGCCCCAACAAAGAGTTTACTTGTCCTGGGCCAGCGGCCAAGCGTTAATATAGAGCCCTGGGCATTATCATCAGCATACTGAAGCTTCAGCTGTGGAAACCTGGGACTCGGCCTTAAACTTATTTTAGTAGAAGAGCTGGCCATCTGTTCTTTATTAGAATACAGGTTTAGGCTGATGAAATGAAGAACGACTGTAATGAATAGATAAGGGGCAATGATACACACTACTTGACACCAGTTTTACCTTGAGAGACTGTGTCTCGTTCCCCTTGGTGCTAGGGGGAGTCTCAATGTACAGTGTAGTGTACAGTGTCACTCTGTTGACCCAAGGTCCTGGAGATTGAAGGAGTTGAAAGCTTTTGTTAGATCGATGTAGGCCCCATGCCAACTGGCATTGAGAGGATGTGGCCCAGACTTGCACAGAAGGCCTCCTTTATTGTGTTCTGTGAGTCGTGTGGGAGCAAAGTTGTTGACCAGCTTGAAACAAACCATATATAGGCGTGGACATTGATGGGAAAGTTCAGTAAGCTGGTTGGCCAAGCTGGTTTTAATGGCAGAGCCCACTCCATGTATCTGGGGATAACACACAGGTTTCCTTTTGAGAAGAAGGTCTGGCTTCCTTTTTCACCCACCTGCCCCCCTTCTTCCAGTCTGATTTCAGAGGGTGCTTTCATGCTATGATTTAAACCTCCGTAGTGCCATTGCACCACTGACGGTTCACTTGGTTTATTACCTTCAGGTTGATGCCTGTATCTGACATATTTTCATGAGAGACAGGTGCAATAGTGTGGACTAAATCAGAGTCGGGGGACTCCCTCTGCCAGAGCCCTCCTCTGTCTTCATAGCTTTTGGGATTTCCCCCATGTTCTCCAGCCACCATCCTCCACCTGCTCTACCATTTCCCTCCACCTTACCATTACATGTGGCCCTATCAGGAGCTGAGCAGACAGCATCACTTGGGATGAAAGGAAGACCCACATTTCTCTTCCATGACCACATTGTGACTTTTGAATTTCCGGAGAAGGTTCAGCTAAAGAACTGACGTGCCCTTTAATAGCATATTGAGCACCATTTTGACAGCATTTCCAGCCAAATACACAATCAAAGTAATCACGCCTGCTTCGACTCAGTATGCTGAATTTCCCAAGCAACAGTGTGGGACACACCACACAAAACAGAGATCTGCCACAGATATTCAATCTCAGCTGCTGGGGCAAGGCAGCATTCCTGCACATGATAACCATCATGTGCAGGAATGCTGCCTTGCCTTTTCTTACCTTTTCTCTCTTCAGGCAACCGCCTGAAGAGAGAAAAGTTCGACACAGAACACAATTGACAGCATGTGCAAGTCAGTTATTTAATTTTCTGTTTCCTAGTCAACCACATATTCTTGCAACTGAAGTTGAAGATTTGTTTGTTATTTTCTCCTTCTCTATGTTCTGTCCAGAAACACATCCAGATGCCTTCCCAAACCAACTGACACCCAGTGACCCCACTCTGTGCCTGATTGATTCTGGTCATTCCATCAATATTGCCTGTGTGCCTGTCCTGCGGCCAGAGAGAGATGTGGATCTCATCATATCTCTGAGTTGCTCGTGGGAGCCAGAGCACATCTTCAATGTAAACCAGAATGAGGAGGCGCTCATCTGGGCCGAAACAGAATGTTTCCTGAATGTATTCCATCAGAGGGATTCATCCATTAACATTACTCTATGATCATGTTTATCATGTTTATCTATTAGGTCCTGTCGAAGACAGCTGCTTACTGTAAAGACCATAACATCCCCTTTCCCAATGCTGACTTTGCCAGTCTGGAAAAGGAGCCTCAAAAGGAGTTCTACATCTTCGAGGATAAGGAGAATCCCAAGGCCCCGATAGTGGTTCATTTACCACTTGTCAATGTCACGTACAAACACTTCAAACGCCCTGGTATGCCCATTTAAACAAGTTGAACTTCACTGCAACAATGTTGCTTCTATTACTTTATTCTTTTTTTCTTTGTGCTGTATATCTTGAAACAAATGCAATGCAATAGGAAGAAACCCTTCTCTTCAAGCTAGTCTTGTTATTGTAGAAGTCATGTGAGGATTTTTTACGGGGCGGGGGGATAATGGCAGGACAGGATACCTGTATTGCTATATTCCATACTGAAATGATAAAATACTTTATCAGGGCATTGCAGCATATATTTACAGGGTGACAGACCTGTATTTAACATTCTGCTTCAATTTTGTTTTGTTATTTAGGCAATGTATGCCTTTATTAAATAGCTACAGTAGAGAGATGACAGGAAATAAGGCGAGAGAGATGGGTAATGACATGAAACAAAGGTCCCAAGCCAAATGCATACCAGGGTCATTGTGGTGCCTTTGCCCCAAGGCCAACAGGGCGCCTCACGCTGCCTACTGCAGCTAATCTTAAGCACTACATATGAACTTCTAAATTATTAATGATCTGCTGAGTTACTAATGAGTAGGTGTGATTTGACTTGAAAGGCAACAAAACTGCCTCATGTATTTCTACACCCAATAAGAACAAGACATAGACTTGTGTATTATATTGTGCTTTATAGGACATCATTTAACCAATTGTGTCATTATCTTATGAATTTACAGGCGTGAAGCGTGAGACGGAGGAAGAAATAAGAGCTGGGAAGGTGGATGTAAGCAGCAGCAGCTCTCCATACATCACTAAACACCTGACCTACTCAAAAGAGGATTATGAGGCTCTGGTGGATCTGAGCTCTTATAACATATTAAACAACAAGGAGAGCATCCTTGCGGCTTTGTGTAAGGCCCAAGAGAGGAGCGCATCCAAGTGAAAGAAGTAAAGGATAAGATTTATCAAGCTTCTTTTTACAGAAACAGGTTTATCTATGTTGCCTCGACAAGTCACTGATGTTTATTCCCACACCTCTATATTAAAGCTACAGTAATTAGGGCACAGGATATTTACTCAACAACATTATAAACTACTGTTTAATATAAGGTATAAGGTTAATATAAGGTATAATTGTGTGTGCAGAGTTGTTGCTGTTGGTGCTGGTATTTAATGATCTACTGTTTCTTGTGTTGCTTGACTAAATGCAGAGCTTAGACTGGATAAGGAGACACAGAGTGAAAGTGTTTACTTTCTCTCCCCATAGATGGCAGTATGAGTGTAGTGAAATCATAGATTTAGATATATGCCTGTGTCTTTGCTAAATATCTAGCTTATACAGATTACTTTTATGCTGTTTATTTCATTTGGTATTGGATGTTTATGGTTTATTTGCCACCTAGTTATGTAGAGCATGTATTTACTTTATTGCTATATAATTTCAGAACCACACATATCTACATGGAAGAATTAGAATGTGTTGATTGTTTGGCAATAAATAATTGAAAAATACAGAGACATTTGTTTTATTCTTATTGAACACCCTTCAGTGGAACTGGCTTTAGTTACCACCTTGTCATAGCCTCCTTGTCTTCATCACTATATCCTCACCATTATCATTGCACCTTCATCACTGTCACTTTCATCATCATCATCCCAGCAAGCATTTTTCCATTGAAAAGACGACTATGGCCACTGTTAAAAAGACGTTCAAAATTGAAGACTTTGATTGAACGTTCACGTTTACACCACGTTTAGATCTGTAAATAAAACGTATTTAGTATTAGAAAAGAAATTGGTCCAAACATGCTAACACATGCTAACACAAGCTAGCAGCCTTCCATTCATCATTAGCAGCATAGAATGGTACTAATGGTGCTAATTTCGGTTTTCATTTTTGGACTAACGTAGTTCAAGTACTTACAAAGTATGTAGTTAGCGTGAAACCTCATGTTTATTCCGTCATTTCATTCACTTCCCTCTGCAAGCTGAGTTTCCAGACCAGTGCATCTTTCAAAGTTGTAGAAGCAGTATAAGCCAAAGTACCTGCGCATGCGTGTTCCAGCAGTAAGCAGTAAGCACACACTCGTCGTACTTTACATGAATGTACAGACAGAATGTAACTGCTCCTGTTACGATGTCCTGGGAGCATCTTGTTGGCAGCATACAGTCAATAGTTCCATATTTTTGACGTTTTATATGAAACATTAAATGCGTTTAAATAGCGTCTTCGCGTAAACCACATTTCACCGACCAGTCAGTGGCGGGCCTTGTATTTTATACCTGGGCCTTCAGTGCTGTCTTACTACAGTTGAACCACCTCCGAATAACCTCATTATGACGCCAGCATGACGGGATGCTTCGTCATTAACGGGCAATGCACAGTGACGGGCCGTGCATTTTATACCTGGGCCTTCACTGCTGTCCTGCAGCTGAAACACCTCATTATGACGCCACAGCTACGGTTATTATTTGTTTTGTGTAAAAATAACTGCAGAGTGCAGATACATGAATACGCCAAGAGTGTGTCTCCTCTCTTCTCTGACTGCAGCTGGGACTGCTGCACGAGGCTACTGTGAGAGTAACCGCCTGTGAGTGCTTTGGGGCGGCTCACGGCAGCACCCGTTGCTCGTTCACCACAGTGCAGAACGGTACGTGCTTTCACGTCAGAGTCAAAACACCACAAAAGTCTCCAACAACACCAGACAAACTAGATTTGTCGCTAGTAGCTTTTGACAAAAAAAGTCGTCAAGAGGGTTTGGAAAGTTGCCAGATTTAGCGAGAAAGTCGCCAAGTTGGCAACACTGGCACCAACTAAATGTGTCCCCAGCGCAACATTGGACGTAACAATAGTTCCTATCACATATTAAACCAAACAAAAATCCGTCGTCATACCAACTTTAACTCGAAGCTCCAGAATTGGTCAATTTGATCCTACACCAGTAAATGAAGGTCAACCGTGCATCTCTATTCAGGATGTCTCTAAATCTACTGTCACCAGAGTTCTAGGCTCACTCAAGAACTCTGTAGGGCCAAAGATGTTTATGGAATTGACAATATTTTTCTAAAGAAACACAAAGGCACACTTGCTCACCCGATCACAAGCATTGTCAACAAATCTCTCGGGCAATGTGTGTTTCCGAAAGGATGGAAATCAGCCATAGTAACACCCATTTTTAGGTCAGGAGATTCAACCGATGTCTCTAATTATCGGCCAATCAGTATTCTCCCTGCTGTTTCCAAAATTGCTGAGAAATGTGTTGCAGAGCAACTAATTAAACATCTCAACAGCTCTCCATATTAGCTGCATCCTATGCAGTTTGGTTACAGGGCTAATCATTCGACTGAAACAGCCAACTGCTTCCTCTTAGAGAATGTGAAGCTTAAAATGGATAACGGGGGTGTAGTAGCAGCGGTTTTCATTGACCTCAAGAAGGCTTTTGATGCGTTTAACCATAATGTCCTGATTAATTAACTGTCAAATTTTAACTTTTCCTGCTGCTGCAGGACCTTCGGCAGCGGAGTCGCACCAAAAATGAACTGGATCCGGTTAACAATCAAAAAGTATTTAATAAACAAGAGAAGCTAGAACAGTTGCAAACTGAATTACTCTATCGATATCAATATGTCCCACGGGGCAGAGTTCTCACAAGGCCCACCTCATAGCCCAGCCCAGCTGGTCAACTACACAGAGTGGTAACGGCGCGAACTGTGGCAAAACCCTCTGGAACTAAGCCTATATTTAAAAGTCTCTGTCCGAAAGTTTAAATGTCCAGTATCAGCCTCTGTGATTGGCCGAAATTCAATAGCCCCTCCTGGCTTCGGGCAGTTATCATCTCAGTGTTTGGTTGAAGTCGTCCGGACTCCTCCTCTGGTCCTGCTGGTCAGTTGTCCATCCCTCTGTTCTCTGCTGCACCTCTGTAAAGCCTCACTCAAACTTTCTGACCCTCAAAACTAATCATACAGTGTTTTAATACTTTTAGTGACTATACTTCTATGGTTTAATACATTCAATGAGTAAAATACTGTAACATATAATATCCTCTATAAGTAAGAATATTGTAAACATATAATACATTCCATAAGTAAATATATTGTGACTTAACATATTTTGACATTCTTATTATTGTGACACTTCTACTCACCACTTGGGGTGTTATTAAATCCTACTAATAATGTTTCCAATACTGAAATCCTTCACACATGTGACAAAGGTTTTAAGATGTAATCTCATGAATTTTGGATGTATAAGAAACCATGCAGGCTGCGAAACTGTATTTTAATGCGATGACTTTCCCCCATCTGACCTACTGCTTAACCAGCTGGGCACAAGCCAGCAGCACAACATTAAAATCTATTCATATTCTCCATAAACAAGCTCTAAAAACACTTGATAAAAAAAACAAAAGTCACCATCACTGCAATATCCTCATCAAACACCATATCTTGAGTTGGGAGAACCTCATTAAATTCACTGATGTGTGTCTGGTTTTTAAAATGTTAGATGGTCTGGCCCCGCCTCCACCTAGTGATTTTATTCAACAAAGCACTCAAAGCAGCAGACAGACTAGATCTGCTTCAAGAGGTGATTGTGTCATTTCACAAAGGTCAAGCTCTTTTAGCAAATCTACATTCTCTGTGAAGGCAGCACACTCGTGGAATACTCTGCCACCACACATACGCGCACAAAACATGTACAAAACATTCAAACATAGCCTTAAGGAATGGCTGGTTGCCAATCAGGCGTGTGTAGACCTGAGTGTCCTCTGAATCCTTGATACTGTGTGGACAAAACTTAATCTTTAGGTGAAATTTCTAAGGTGGCGTTGTGATGCTCTGACTATTGGTTAATGTCCACGTAAACTTTAAACCACATCCCACCTTCCTCTCGCCACACGTGCATTGATGTACTGTCTGTCCTGCCTGCTTGTTTCGTCTATATGTATATTTGTCTTGTTCAGTGTTGCTATTTTCCATTTTGATGTGTATGTTATGTGCCTCAGTGTTATATATGTGCTTGTACTGTAGGTGGGTTTGTTCTGCCTGACGCATGCTGCAGCCTGTTATGTCTGCTCTGCTCTAGTGTCGCACACTTTTCTTTTGCTTATATGAGAGTTGATTGTATGAGATATTGATTAAGACTGAAAAATGGAGAGCACAGCTACTCACATCTTTTTATTATAGTTGTCAAATGTTTGTCTATTTCTGTGCATGTACATTGATAGCAACAAAAGTTATATTCATTGTACTATATATGTACACACTTACTTGACCATTAAAGCTGATTCTAATTATATAATTGCTACTATTTTCCTGGGTCACCTAAAAGTAAAGGGATTTGATTAAACCATAAACTTTTTTTCTTTTCTTTTTTTCCCTTTTCATTCAGACAACAATCCGTTTCTTCGTCTTTGGTTTGAAACCAAAAACCCCAAAACATGTATTTCTGTTTTTTCCACTGCTGCACACATTCCCAGTGAAGTTCTGATTCACAAAATAAAAACAAACATGAGTAATTTTGTCATTTCTGCTACTTTGGATTTAATCCAATAAACAAACTATTACAATGTACACATACCTACAACATTAGTGACAAGCCCTCTGGGTAGCTCTACTTCTTCGTCCTCTCATGTTGGACTGAAGATCGACTGGACGTTACAGGGAATAAACATCACCTCTCCAGGTGCAATGGTTCTTTGTTTCAGCAGAATACATATATACTTTTTATGCTAACAAACATATTGTGCGCATGTCTTGGCGATGTTTAGTCAGCCACTGTGTGCTAAGAAAGTCTAGTCTGAGACCCAGGACAGCACTAAATGGGCCTTGTGGGAAGAATGTTTTCCCAACAGTATTCCTGTTTTGGAGTGTTTCTAATGGGACTTCTGGGTCTCGAGTAGAAGGTAACATTTTGAAGTGGCTTTAGCTGTTTGGCACATAGCTCATTCACGTATTTATTTTATTGCCTTCATGGAAAATTTGGTTTAGTCACACTCAAGGGCATCGCACAAAATATTCGCAAAGTCTTACACATATTACAACACAAGGCAATACGTTTAAGTGACATGCTGCTTTGCTGTTAATGACTTAACCGATGAGCTCCTGCTCTATGGTTTTCACTTCTGCTAATGTACAATGTATATCATCTTTGTATCACGCTACATAATATTTGAAGTGAATATTTATCTATCTGTGTAACTGCTGCTGCATATCATGTGGTTTGCTGTGTTTAGATGTATCTGTTATTAGATAGTGTATTCCTCTTGCGGTCTTAGTTGCGTATCAAGAGAATGACTCTAAGGGCTGATGCTTGCATGCAGTACAGTCCACATAATGGCTGATGATAGGCTCTGTCATCAGATGAGTGGTGTTTCTAGGTGGACACAAATGGTGGGGCAACAAGTACTGTGGACAAATGCAAAACGTACACATACACAATTTTATATTTTTACATGATACGCTCTTTTACATTTACCACATAGTTTAAGATAATTAGGCCTCTCGAGCCAAGC